TACCAATTGTATGGTGCTACATAACGTTATGTATTTTTAATAATTTTGTAAGAAAAATGAATGAAGCGATTGATAAACTTGTTTTTTATTACATTTCCATATCCATCTGGTTTTTCAGAATACATACACACTACAGGTAATAGTGATCTATTTACCGCTGGAAATATTTTTAGTTTTTCTACAGAAAAGCAATTGTATTTGCTTTTTTATATTTTACCGTAATTCAATCACCTTACTTTTTGAACGAGGCATCTTTGAGTGCTCCTACGAAATATATTTCATAGATGCTCCTATTAAATATAATCCTTTACTATTTAATATAATCCTTTACTTATCATATGGCTGGTGCATGCATGCTGACATATGGACGTTAACCAGAATAGAGAAAAAATGTGAAATGATTTGTGTTAATATTTGTACACGTACAATTATTCCAGTATTGTTATTTTTTTAATTGTTATCATTTTTTTTATCTTCTTTTCGATTTCTATAGAGTTCTGTTCCCTCAGCTTCAGCGTCCAACAAGAATGGTGTCAATAATTATGGGCTAATTTCGAGTTCACCTAAGCTCTCAAAGTTCATCATATTAATTCCTTAGAGTTAGTACAATAGTTTAGCTGTGTGTTGATAGATCAATCAGTCTCTGCGTAGTAGCGCTTATATATTTTGAGGGATCTGAATTCTGTATTGAGATTCTGAAACTAACTCAACACGACAAATAAAGCAACATGTTTGGAGCTCTGCTAAGTAATAAATACTGCCACAAGCTCACTCGCTAAAGTTCGTCAGTCGGCTTAGATATTCATGACCAATATCTAAACTGACAATTAATACCAAACTTTCAATACTTGAATGAAATAACAATACTACGTGTACTGATTTATTTAATAGGCTAATTGATTCCTTATTTTATACATATATAGTCCATTAATATCTGAGAAATAATGTAACAGCATGTCTACGATTAATAGTTTCGGAGATATGATGGTGCTATGTTTAAGGAACTGCTGTTAGTCATCTGAAAACGCTCCCTACAAATTCAAGTCACGAAATGACGTCACTTCTTGACACGGGTGTCTGGGCAATTTTTGTATTATCTTTGTTATTAGTGTGGTTATGTTTATAATTATAGCGCAAGTCTGATAATGGAACTTGGCAAGGAAAACACACTATTATAAGTTAAGAATTGTTTATTAAATCTTAAATACAATTACAATAACTAAATAGTAATCTTTCATACACAATTCACACGAGCTTGTAAAATATTGTTTAAAATCTTTACTTGGCGGCTATAAGACAGCACCATAAACAATAGACTACATAAAATAATAGATTAGAAAAAAAGTCAAGAGTGAGCTCTGCACTTATCCACAGATAATATACTTAATATAACGAGACGGTACACGGACTGGTCGGTCAGATCTGGTTATTTATTTCAGGAAAAAAAAGTTAGACATAGATGTAATGCTTCATAATTGTTATAATGAAAGTTGTTACGTTTTATATAATTAATTTAATAGTATATGTTTAAGCATTTTTTATTAAGAATATTTTTCAGTATAGCATTGTGAATGCAAAATTTATAAAATATAATATATTTTTATAAGCTAAAATAGTTCATATTTTCCGTACTCTCAATTCTTGGACTATTCTCCATTTCTCAAAAGTATAGTAATACATAATAGAATTAAAATGAGTAACATTTAGATAAGAAATTGTACCTGTGAGACATTGTAACTCGAAATAACAAGAATTTGAAATAACGAGATATAATAAACCCCAGGCCCTTCTTAAAATAAAAGATAAAAGAGTTTCAGGATTTTAGTAAAGAACCTTTAATACTTTCGTACCTTTTGCTAATACTTAGAAGGTCAGTCGTTATAATAATATCCTTTTGTTTATAAAAGGTTCAGGTAGGCAGGTTAAATAAATCCCACGTGTATGTGTTTAGATCATAACAGGAAATATTATTTTTGCTGTACTTTATGGGGAAATGTTCATTTCCGTATTTAATTTTAACAATTTAGGGAAAATAGTTTAAGAGATAATCACAAGATATTTTTCGGCTTATTAGGTACAGGTAACTTTAAAATTCTTATTTAAAAAAAAAATGTAATCTAAGAGGGGAGTCCAATGAGAATTTTGTTAAGACAAACAGTTTTTTCTTTTTTATTATTTATTAGTTTTAATTTTGGCAGTCGCGTATTTTATTCCTTTTATCAAGCTATAATAATAGTGTATAACATTTCAAATGTACCCATATACTTTTGCTTTTAAGAGACTTTTATTACTGCGATAATTAAAGGAAAAAATGTGTTAGAATACATCTAGTGTCATTCGGGATAATGTAACGTTTCTAATGATACATTTATCGCTTAAATTCCAAGATGAGAAACTAAAGGCCCCGTATTATGGGGTATCGGAGACAACGAAGGTACCACAACACCGCATTTCAAAAGTTAGGACTGAATAAAAAAGCTCTCAAATATGTGAAGGATATGCCCGACGTTAACCCTTAACAATATACATTCCCTTTTTTGGGTTTTCTTGTAAAATTAAAAAAGCCTAGATGTGTTTGTCATTCAATAAAATAGCAAAACATTTTTTATTTCCCTTATCCCATTTTCAATGAATATTCTCTATAAATAAATTTCATCTTTTGGAATAGATTCTGTACGTGTTGATATGATACATGACTTGGAAATAACACGTTCCAAGCTAATTCTACCATACGGTACACATTATAGCTATCTTGCTCTAGACTTAAGGACGTCTTTTAGCTGACAAGAAGAACAAGCGAAAGAAACTTACCAGCTTTTTATCATAAGTAATGACAATCATCAACTTTAGAATAGCTTTTACTCATAAGTATATTCTTTACATGAATTTGAAATTTATTTATGCGTAGGTCAATTACATTTTGTGGAACTTTATTGAACATAGGAATACATTTACCCAGAATTGATTCCCTGGTTTTTTGAAGTCTGAAGCTTGGAACGGCAAGTTTATTTTTATTTCTTGTATTAAGATTATGAACACTACTTTTTTTTGTGAAGGAATCGTAATGTTTTCTTGTGTACATAATATTCTCATAGATGTATTGAGAGGCAACAGTCAGAATATTTATTTCTTTAAATATTTCTCTGAGAGAATCCCTAGACCGTAAATTGTATATAGAACGGACAGCTCTCTTTTGTAGAATAAAAATATCCTGAATGCTAGCCGCAGAACCCCACAACAATATACCATACGTCATTACTCTATGAAAATAACTAAAATATACCAATCTTGCCGTTTCAACATTTGTCAAGAGTCTAATTTTCATAACAGCAAAAGCTGCAGAACTCAGTCTACTTGACAAGTTATTAATATGAGGATCCCATTGCAGTCGGGAATCTAGTGTAATACCAAGGAACTTTGCCGATTCTACTAACTCAACTTTTTCACTATTTACATTTATAAGTGTACTGACATGCCTCACATTAGGTAATGCAAACTTTATGCATTTCGTTTTATTTGAATTGAGCTTTAAATTATTATTATTAAACCACTGTAGAACATTGTCGAGAGCATCATTTAGATCGTCAAAACAATCATTACCCCTCTCAACTTTAAACTGTAAAGAAGTGTCATCTGCAAATAATACTGTCTCGCACAAATTCTTCGTAAAGTGAGGACGATCATTAATATAAATTAGAAAAAGCAATGGTCCTAATACTGATCCCTGAGAGACGCCCATAGTAACTGGTGCCCCTGCAGATTTCGCTTCATTAATTACTACTTTTTGAATTCTAACAGAAAGATATGATTTTATTAGATTAAGTGAATTTTTCATCACACCATAATGCTCTAAATAGGTATGTTGGGTTTATATTTGTTATATTAATTGTTGTTATTTATTTTAGTTATATTGTTTTTGAGTAATGTTAGTGAAAGTTATTATAGATTTATTATTTCATTTTAAAATTTGACTAACGATATGAATTTTGTAAAAATAGTAAAATTCTGGATAATAATGAATATTATTTTAATAATTAATCGGTCCTGTACTTTCGAAACCTTTTATATATTAGTTTGGATGAGTAATAAATGGAATGAATGTAAATAGCACAGTCTATTTATAAGCTATTGATTCGTTAAAAGTTTCAGATCAAACTTAGCTGGTATAGAAATTAACGTTAGTGTATTAAATGGTTGAATTATAAATGATATTTTTATCAATACCATAACGTGGAATAATTATTGTATATAATATAACCATTTTAATTAACACACTTACAGCACAGCACACATGGGAATTATAAAATAAAATAATAATTAATGATATATCAATATTCGGCTAGCAAACTTGTATATATTTTTTGGTTATTAAAATTCTTCAATAATATGAAAAATTATTCCATTTATAATTAACTTTAAATATTTTAAGTAAACCTTATACCTAAATACGTGTTGAAATTATAAAAAAAGTCATAGTATTTTAAATGAAAAATGCTTAAAAATTCACTTTGTCCCTGGTACTCTGAGATATTACCAGGTACAAAGAAGTTTATTAGGTATTTTTCATTTAGAATATATGTTCCAGTATAGCATTGTGATACTTCACTTTAAGTTATGTCGAAATATTAAAGGTATACTCGTACATCGATGAGTCTCAATGTGTCTGGTATCAACTTTTTAAATAATTATTGACTGTATGTTTAGCCTGTACGACATTACGACAAATCCTGTGTTGTCATTAAAAGGTTTACGTTAAAAGGTCGTGGTCATTGTCGTTTTTATTAATATGAATTTCGTTTATTTACAGTTCTAAACGTGACCAGTAACGCTGCAGTATGTCCTCATACAATATAACAAGATCCGTCGCTTCAAGTATGCAGTCTAACTCGACAGCCACGACCAGTGCCACGTCCAATGAAAGCTCTAACGAACCGGAAGTCATAAGACGCTTTATTTCTAATTTCCTGGATAGTAATAACAATCCATCTTCATTAGAATCTATGCAGATAGTTCAGTATGTGCCTAACAATATAAAAAGACTGCCCCCGATGAAAGACAGATCAAATCCTCTGGGAGCCATTGGCGATAAGTATAACAGGGCTAGAACTGATAGGCAACAGCGGAAGAAGAATTCCAAAAAAGAATACTTGGGCAGGTCAATATCAGACACCTGTTCTCGCTGCAAAGAACGCTTGCCGACGATTCTTTGCATGCAATGTAAAGATTTGTATTGCCCCGAATGTTGCTACAGAGCCACATCTGTCTGTCAGTTACTTAAACACACATTACTTCCAAGTTATCATCACCTGTACAATCGTTCATGTGAAATGGATTTTATGTATTGCAAACTCCACGGAAACCCTTCAACATTATATTGTAAAGAATGTTTTGTCCTTATATGTCAGGAATGCAGTTTATACGCTCATAAACAACATCAATATACGCCAATAAATGGTGCTTATGAGAAATGTTGCTTAGAAGCATTTGAAATAGTAGAATATGCAGAAAGTAACATCGAAACAATAAAAAATGAAATAGATCGTATAACAGCTATGATCAATAGTTACGAAGAAGAAGCTGCTGATGTTAAAACGAAAATCAAGGAATCTAAGCGGTGTCATGATCAGGCTATTAAAAATCGTCAAACAAAATCTAACGAGTTGTCCGATTATATGACTCAACTGCAGGGTATACTCGCTGCTTTTGGTCGTCTCAATGAAAGTTTAGTGGAGAGCATGGATGCCGAAGGAACAGAATCGACTACGGCTGAAAAATCGGGTAGATTACAAGTGGAATACTTTACGGCCATGTTCCATAAGATGCGTGTCACTGAGGAGAGAGTCGCGTTTGTTTTACCCAATAACGAATTAATGGAACATTTGAAATGGCAATCAATGTGATGTGTAAAAATATAGTTACAGGGTTTGATTGCAATCAGTAGAAAAATATTTCCTAAGTTTTTATTTAGTTAATAGAACAACTTCATGCAGGAAAACACATTATTTTATATTAATAATATTTATAATTGTTTCAATTTTAACCATTTCTAAGTAGATTTTCATTATTATTTTAATATCTTTCTTATCTCCTATGTGAGTAGGTTAGAAAAGATGAAAAATAAACACGAATACGATTTCCAGTAACGAACATAATATAATAATAATCTGTTCACTGATCACAATATTTTCCTTTGTACTTAACTCACTCAAAATACTCGTAATATTGATTGCCGTGTTAGATTCCGTAGTATTTAGTTGTATATATGTATTTAACATTGTTTGATTTACATTAGGATTTTTAGCGTTAATTTGCTAATGTCTAATGTTAATGAATTGTGATAAAATTGACTAAAAATTAGATAAGACATTGTAATATATTGTTGTTTAAGTTGTATTTCGGTAAAGAGCGTCAGGTTATTTAGATCAGCTATAAATAATGGATCGGAATCAGAGACGACTGTATTGTCGTGTTGTCTTATCAACTGCAGACAGTTGTTGCGATAACGGTGTTGTATCGATACTCGATATCGAGAATCAGTTCTACCGAAAACTCTTAGTTTGCAGTTGCAAAGCTTGTAGTTAGCAACTCTTGCGTTTGGCATTTTTAAGTAGCCTTCACGCATGTTTTGATATGTTTAGATAATTTCAATTAAAGTCAAAGTAAATAAATCATTATTTCAATATCTCTCTTAAAACCGTAATGATCGCTATAGATGTCACATGTCAAATAGTTATAGCGTGATGTTCGTGCTTATCTTTCAAAAGTCAAATGAAAGGAGTAAGGAAAAATAATTTGGTTGCCTTGTTTGAAAATCGACTAGCTCGACTAGGTTTAGAAAAATCCGTTTTGAAAAATTTGATACTCGTATTTCTACATTTACCATTAGTTATTTTTACGCGACTCGATGAAAAAATATATTTTGGATATTTTTTTATGATATAGCGAGAGTAAAATGGACGGGACGTGCAGCACGAATGGACAATTACTAGTGGATAATACGGTTAGAATGGAGACCCCGAGAAGAGAATAGGTCACGCAGCCGTCCATGCAGATCGAAACTGGTTGAGAAACGCCATACATGGACACAAGGCTTACGAATTCTTAAGATAGTATTCATGTTAGTATAACCGCATCTGCCACACTTGTAATGCACTCAAGACTGATTAGAATTAACGTAACAGTGGTCAGATTACCGATTTAAAAGTTTGTTATCTATTCACGATATGAATTTGGTTTCCATTAATTTATTTTATATTGGTTTAAGTAATGGCCTTACACTTAATTTCATGACTGTTTGAAAATTATCATGGAAGAACTAAAATATTAATTGATTGTTAACAAATAGTAATTTTATTTGTACCTCTTTCTCATACATTTGCTAATATATATCGTTTACACTACACTACCACAGAGTATTTATTATTAAACCAGACGCTCTATCCTGGATCGCCGCGCCTTGGGCTATCAAGAATATGAATCGATACAGTCAAATGTAATAATTGCTACGTAATTGCTACGTACATCGGAAGTCACGTGTCTTTGGGGTGTGCTACGATCAAAACCCTCCATACTCTTGGTATTAATAAAATGTTTGTGTACCGGGCTATCGATAAGTAGAATGAAACCTTCTCTGTCTATGACATACAGACAGCCGGTAGCGGCGGCGCGAGCGCAGGCGACGGGTCCCTGGTCCGCTAATACCGGTCAGGGACAGGCTTCGGCCACCGTCGGCGAGCCCGTAAACCCATTCGTGGGAGCGGGGGGACTGCCCTTGATTGGGTGGTCCTGTGTGGAGGACATCGGCCCGCTAACGCCAACTTTCGGAGACCGCCCGACCTCTGGAAATATGTAGGGTTACTCGGGTGCAGAGGGCACCGCTCCGGTGGATGGAGTATTTCCCTCCTAATCGTGGGAACTAAATGGAGAAGCAATCGAAATTTAAAACCCCAACAAAAGGCCCTTCTCAGGGCTAACCCAAAGGCCCTTCTCAGGGCCCCTCAAAAGGCCCTTCTCAGGGCCAAACTGGAAGAGGCATCAGCCCCAAAGGGAGCTCTACTGGAAGTGTCACGCCGAAAGGCGCTACAGGATTAGACAATAATGGACGTGACGGGGGAGAGCAAGTTTGCTCACCCTACAACTTGCTGAACGACATGGAGATAGAGGACTTAAGGCTAAATACTGAAGATGACTGCAGCGTAACTGCATCATCATGCACCACGGACGACAGAAGGGCAAGGAAACGACCCCGATTATTGAATGAGAGACCTATCGTTGTGGAAGACGAGGATGATGATCATCATTCAATTGGAGGCGATTCTTTGGCGGCATCATTTGCGTCGACGGATTCCAGAAGTGCGGCATCGAACTGAGGAGGACGCCAGGGACGGGAAGATCGCAGAGAAGATGACGCGATGTTCAGAGCGATGCGGAGAAAGCTCAGAATGGATTTGGCGAAAAAGAAAATAGAGCGGGAGGTCCAACAAGCGTTGGAGGACTTCGACGAAGAGAGCCAACGTAAGACCAGATCACAACCTGGAGAGATGGAACCACCGTTAGCACGTCCTCCAAGTGCTAAGTCGAGTGTCAAGCAGGCGACACTGCTCAGAGCAGGGAGCGTAGGCGATAAGCGTAAGCCTAATGAAGATGAGGAGGACGCCAACTCGGTCGCTAGAGTAGAGAGCGGTAGGACATTGGCTTATGAGGACGGAGAGGTGAAGACTGGCTCGCTGAGGGAGCAGGCACTGGCGAGGGTGAAAGACATACAGGATGCCGCAAGAAAATCCAGCAACCTGAAGGGCGGAGTCTGGAAGGTTTTTAACGAATCCACAGCGGAATTAATCAACCTGGTGGAGAGACTGACTAGCGACGCTCCGCAGCTGGATGTCGCCAGACTAGAAGAAGAAAACCACAGGCTGAATAGGGAGGTCGAGGCTATGCGTGGGGAGTTGCTGGCTGCTCTACGCCAGGCCATTAAAAATAGGCCGGTCGCACCGCCACCTGCGGACGAGAGGGTTGAAGTAGAATGGTAGTAGTAGAATGAAGCCGAAATATTGGAGTGGAATGTCACCGTAGTGAGGATGTGATGGACCTTAGGGTGATGGAGTTGTTGAAGAGTAATCTCCTGGATACGTGGGCAAAAAACTGGATGCCTGCTTCGAGGGAATTCAGGAAAGACTTCTCCCGGAGAAGAGTAGGCGCTCGCCGTTGGCAGCCGACAAGCGAAGGCAAAGGCGCAGTCTGACGATCCTTCTCCTGGACCCTCTAAAGAACCTCCCCGAGATCCACCCACTAGAAACGTGGGCGCAGGTAACGAGGAAAAAGAAGAAGCAAACAGGTGGTGCACCCCCTGTTAAGAAGGCACCGGGTTCAGTGGACTAGGAGCAGCGATGCTAAAGGTGCCTATAGCAGCGAAAAGATATTGACGTAGGGGAAAAGAGTCGCCAAAACTGACTGACAAAACAAAATCGTTTACAAAGTCAAAACGAAATTTCACATGTAACGCTATATCATTTTCAAATAACCATAGATTGTTCGTTTCTGAAGACAATTTTCATGATCGATTGGAGGGAATGACATTATTGGATTTCTTATAATGTCAATTCCGGTTTTCGCCGTAGCTTGAAATATATAATATTAAACAATACATATACTTCTTTTAAATAATATTTAGTGGCGTAACATTGTTTAAATGTAAAATATTATAAAAATATAACGAAAACCTAACTTTCAAAACGAATATAATTTTTCGTTACAACTGATCAATACACTAATTGTATGATAAATTACACCCCTAAGGGCATAAGCTAAGAGAATAAGACTTTTTTTCCGGTAGTTTACACGATATAATGAATAAATATTCGTTAGAAATGCTGCTCAAAGTAACTTTACCACGCGGACGAAGTCGCGGGCAAAAGCTAGTATTATATATAGGCTGGACCTTGTATAAGGAAGGACATAGATAGGATAGTTCGTTTTGCGAAAAATAGGCTTAAATGAGTTGAAGGATGGGATGAAAATATGAAGTGCGATAATAGCTAATATTTCATAAATTTACAACTAGAGTGTTCGTTGAATGGAAATGGTTCCGATTAAAATATTGTTCCTCATTATGTATTATTATAACTATTGCAATAAGAGTACAATCAATGCATCAGATCACAACAACCTATATGCCTCGTAAGATCTGTAATATTAATGACACAATTCTATAGCTATTTATTCACAATTCTTACATAAAGCCAACATAAGATTCCATTCATTTCGGTTTTGAGGAATATTAAAAATATGATCTCCTGGCATAAGTCTTGAAATAATTCACGGCTGAATCTGTTATTACTTACAAACTCAGTGTCGGGATAACTCTTATATTAACGCTATTTCGATGCCGCTGCCGGCTCTTCTACGGTACAATCGTTTTTCACTGAGAGCAGACTCGATTAATTGTACTCTAGACACTTTTCGAAAATAAAAGATTGCTAACGAAAACGAAAAGGTAATACTTTTCACATTGTCAATTTGAGGTTAAAATTCCAAACAATTCGATGTCAAATTCAAATGTTCGTTTCTTTTTTCGTGAAATAAAGTAGGTTTAAAAAATAAATATGTCAAACTATTTTCGTTCCTTGTATATTCGTAACGAACTTTATAGGAAACGTGCGAAATTTCGAACGATATTTCGTCTTGCGATGAATTAGAGTAGGTTTCCTGGCCGTCCACGCTGTCATTGAAAAAGGCGATTAAAGCAGTAAAGAAAAAAATTCCAAGACATCCTATCCGAAAGCAAAATATTTTATCTCGGGACATAAAGATAACACCTAGAACCATGTCGCGTATTTTAAGATGATTTAGGACTTGCAGCCTATAAGAGACGCATTGGTCACTTCCTAACATGATTGTATGA